AAAGGTGGCCTGGTACCAGGCCTGTCCGGCAAAGATGATGTGGACCGGGAAGCGTGAGTTTGCTTACTGTTTTTGCCGGGAGGCCTGGTGTGCGTTTGTTTTGTTGGGTTTTTTTCAGCTGCTCAATTTGCTAAGTCAGCTCCTGAATGCGTTCTTGTCCTGCTGAACTGTGTCGTCTTGAAACTGGGCAAGTTGATGTGTGATCCTTTGCACTTAGCACTGCTTCGCGAACTCTCCGAGCAAGCACCCTTGACATGTAACGTCCATTTGCTAGCGATCGCAAATGAAAGCTGTCCAGTCCTCGGTATTGTACTTCATGAAGAGGAGGAAAGTCAAAGCGGTGTGTGTGTGTGTGTCTCGTCCCGGCGGTGATGCTATGTCTGTACTCTGTTCCTTTTGTGTTGCTGTGCTTCTCGGGGGTCGAAAGTAGATTCCACTGTGATGTCGAGGCTTGGTTGTGGTTGGTACGACTTTTCGAAGACGAACTGTTTGAGTCTGATTGCCAGGACGTGTTGTCGCAGTAGGATTGACTGGATCGGGGTTTCCTTTTTGGCCTCACGACATGTTGGAGAGCCGTCGCCTGAAACGCTGCAGCCCCTGCCTTCTGCGCCTCGCAGTTGGGCGGAGCCTCCAATGCCAGCAATGCCGATCATTATGCGTTGGGCAGGTGAGCTTCATTAGTACAGTCTGGACCCGCCAATCTCCGGCTCAGACTTGCACGCTATGGCCCAAGCTTCTTTCTTCACTGCAAAGTCACCTCCGCCTGTGCTTTGCTTAGTCGACGAACATTCCGACCTTGAGTTATCCAACACGGAGGATGCGCTGGAGTGCATAGGGGTCATAGCCGTGGGGCTTTCAGACATGATAACGGATGCTGAGGTTCCTGCCATGGACGGTGCTGGAACGCGCGCTTGTCCGGATCCGTCCAAAAACACAGTTAAACAAGGTGCCCTCGCAGGGCCAAGCAACAAGCGGAAGCGTACAAACTCACCAGGTCCCGTCCCCAAAAGAGCTCGTGTTCCTCCCAAGGTGGTAAAGAACCGTCCCGCCGCAGCGGCTGCAGCAGACAGGAACGAAAACACATCCGGCCAGGCAAAGACAATGTTGTGTCGGGTAATTCCTATCAGGTCGACGGAAATGAACACTGTTGCAATCGCGGCGAAACACCGTGTTCGCGGATAGCCGCTGCAAGTCTTGGCCACGCCTGTCAAACTTCGGCTCCGATGTGGCAATCGTCAGCACAACACGTGTGCATGGCGAGCAACTGCCGTTTACAATGCTGCCATCAAAAAACTGCAAGTGTTGCAATCCACGAGGAAGAGCAAGGCCAAGGATGTTCACGGTCAGCCCAAGTCTGGCAAAATCGGCTGCGCTCCAGGCGAGAAAGCCGCGACTTTCTCCGAGCCAGAGCGCCTGCTTTACAAAGGTGCTTATGATGAAACGCAGACTTGCAGTGTCATCGAAATACATGTTGCCAGCCGGCAGAACATCAAGGAAAGCCTCAAAGTTGAGTGCCGTATCCGTGGCACCACCAACAAGCACGTCATGTGCAAGACTTCCTGCACGCCTTACTGGAACCGGGACACCCTACTACTCTATCTGTTCTCCGGATTTATAGCGGTTTTCTCACAAACGAACAAACAAACAAGCAAACACACAAACAAACAACCAAACAACCAAACAGCCGAGACAAGCAAACAAACTAACAAACTAACTAACAAACGAACAAACGAAGAAGCGAACGAACTAACTAACTGACAAACTGACCAACTAACTAACTAACTAACTAACTAACTAATTAACTAACTAACTAACTAACTAAATAAATAAATAACTAACTAACTAACTAATCACACGAACTGCTCAGACTAACTACTCACACTACTCACACGCTACACTTATTTGTTGGCTGCTTGTGAGCCCCAAACATTTCACATTTCCGAAAGGCGGTGCGCCGCGAAAAAGCAGTGGGAAACCCTAACACCGGTACAAGGAATGGGAAACTTGTGCGAAGATGCGGCCTGGCAACGCCAAGTGATGTGACTCAACCTAACTCCTCTGCATGCGGTCCTTTCCTGGAACCATGGCTCGACAGGTCAGAACCGAACTACAGCTTCGTCAGCAGCTGCTGCCTCGACAGATTTCCACAAGCATGGTGTCGTTCAGATTCTGCCTTTTCGAGTTCGCCGCTCCTGGCCAAGACTATTCCTGTTGCGAGTACTGCTACAATTTCAAGCTATGGCTTGCATCTACATCGAGTAGGGTTTAAGGAATTGCATTTCTAGGGGTCGAATAAAGCGTTCAGCATTTCCAGTGTCGAGGATGTTTCCCACACAGTCCCACGGCAGTGGGGGCCTGTGAATCGCTCAAAAAGCTGCTGCACCCTTATGGGCTTATGGGCTAGGGCTAAGGGCTGAGGGCCCAGGGCCTAGAGTGTTGACGGCTCATTTGGGTTAGTAAGGCTTAAGGTTAAGGGCTTACGGCTTAGGGGTTCGAAATGCTTTCGTTACAACAGGAACCTTAGGGGCTACTATTAGGGAGTGTTCAGGCTTGTAAAAATACCCGCAACTGTTGACCCACCGGGCAGTTTCGTGAACTAAGGATCGTTGATGGGCGACCTTTGATCGTCTTGGTGCCGGCATCTTTGCTTCACAGAGCAATGCTTGCGACGTTTTTGAAAATCCAAATCTGCGAATTAAGCAGAATTGGGTTTTATAAGGTTATGTTGGGGTGGTATTGTGGATGATCTGATGGCCAGCACAGAACCCAAACAAGCAGCACTCACCAACGACATGCACAAACATGTCTGCATTTGGAAAAAGAGCCACGGCCGAAGATCCTCCGAGTACAGCTGCTCATTGTGTTTTCGATTCAGAAGGATTCTTGACATGAGCTTTCAAAACCATAATATTGAAGCTGTACAGTCGTAAAGAAACGGCAATCCCGGGGCCGTGAGAAAAGAGTGAGTGAACATTCTGGATCATCATTTGCTGGGGCCCAGTCGCCCTTGATGCCCAAACCCAAAGCCTTACTCCCCCCCAAAAAAGTAAGATAAACTCTGAGATTTTCAAGCTTGTCATTGACGTTTTAGCGGAACCCCGAAACGAATCCTGGTAAACCTGTACGGGAACTGTTAAAGCCCCGCCTGGCTGGAACCTTAAGAAACACTTAGGCCTCGAGCTTTGGGTTTTTCTGCCTGAGTCTCTAGGGTTTAGGGTTTAGGGTTTAGGGTTTAGGGTTCTAGACTCTAAACCCTCAGCCTACAGTTCTGAACTCTGCGAGCTCTGCGGTTTTCTTACAGATGCAGGTTGGTGGAAAGCTTATAGAAACTCCGTTTTGTCCCTGTCATGGAATCCTAAGAGGGTTTAGGCTTAAGCCGAAAACCTGGACCTGAATTTCTAAACGCTATAGACACTGAGAATGTACACCTTAATCCAGAGAGACAATATACCCCTTAATTAGAGAACCGAAATTAAGCTGTTGCCTCCTGACCTGAATTTTAAGCCCGAAGGTATATATCGCTTACTGAAAGGAGCCCTTTAAAAGAACCTCGGAGCTTCCAAAAAGGCCGGCCATGGCCCTGGTAGTAGCTTCTACGTGTCCCTGCCCGGGGCGGTCTCGAACGCAGCTCGGAGGGGCGGTTTAGGGTTTTTCGGTGGGTTTAAGATGGGCTCGGGTTTAAAGCTCAGTGTGCATTTAGGGCTTAGGGTTTAGGGTGGGTTTAATTTAAGGTTAGGGTTTAGGGGGCATAGGGTTTAGGGTATTGGGTTTGGGGGGGCGTTTAGGGTTTTCGGGCCAACAGATTTCTGGCGTTGTTGTGATAGGAGTTTTCGGAGTTATGTCGCGCATTTCTGGCCACCGGGTTGTAAGCTTTTGGTATTTGTTTAGGGAGGGTGGCATTTTCGGGTTTCAGGGCTTCAGTGGTTTGGGTGTGTGTTTTTCTGTTTCACCGGGCAATTGCAGTTCCTGGTTTTGGGTTTGTATTTCATGGTTCTTGATAATGGGGCTGCAGGCTGAGCGACAAACCACCATCTAGAATCTGAAGCCTCGGTATTAGTGGAGCAACTATAAGGCTTTAAAGTCTCAACACTAAGCCCAACCCTAAAGCCCCGAATAGGAAACCCAATACCTGTGCCTCTTCTAACCCTCATCCCTAAATCCAGCCTAAACCCCCAAAAAGTAGGTGAAAACCATGGCCCAACACCCGTAGGCTATTCTGCATACTTTTAGGGCCCAGAAGAGCATGAACTCCAGAAAAGGCTTGCGAGAAAATGAAGATCGATGCGGACGAACTTCAGGCAGCACTGCGGCCTCTCGCCTTCGTCACTAGGGCCAGTGAGTTTACGACTTTTTAGGGCTTAGCGGTTTAGAGTTGGGAATGAGGGCTTAAGCCCTAAACTCTAAACCCCAAATCCTAAACCCAGCCCCAAACCCTAACGGTTCAGTTCCGTCCTGGAAGCCAGTCTGGGAGCTTGGTTGAAGCCTTGCCTTGCTCCTGATGGCTCTAGGGTTTAGGGCTTGAGGTTTTTAGGGTTGGGTTCAGGGTTTAGGTTTAAGGCTTGGGGTTTAGGATTTAGGGCTTGAGGTTTAGGGTTTAGGGCTTGAGGTTGAGGGTTGGGTTCAGGGTTTAGGTTTAAGGCTTGGGGTTTAAGTTTAGGATTTAGGGCTTCAGGTTTAGGGTTGGGTTCAGGGTTTAGGGGTTAAGGGGTTTAGGGTTTAGAGGTTTAGGGCTTGGGGTTGAGGGTTACCAAAAATCTTGTAACTCCTAAAGACCCCCAGGCCCTTTCCCTCAGCCGCTTATAAATCCTAAAAGCAACAAAATCCCATTTATTCGCAACCTTGCAAAACGAAGTAAAATCACCCTAACCCTGCCCCCCCTCCCCTCCAAAGAAAGATCCCGAAAGTTCCTGACATCCCAGTCTTCAATGCTCCACGACATAAGAGCCCGGACTGTCTTGGGGCTTGGGGCTTTGGGGTATGAGGGTGTATTGGGTGTTAATGCACAGGGTTAGTTAGGGTAGGGCTTATGGCCTAAACCCTAAACCCTAAACCCTAAACCCTAACCCTGGGCAGGGCTTATGAGTCCAGGTGAATCCCTGATTTTTCCGAGGATGTCCCTTGAGGAAACGCCGCCGGAAGCATCAACAAATCCGAGCGCAGCGCCAGTGGCAGCTGGGTCTTGCACGATTTGGGGAGTTTTCCGCAAACCCCCAAAACCCTAAATCCCAGTTTTTGTTTTTTTTTCTCGGGCGCCTGGAATCCTGGAAGCAGATATGATCTCCTGGGCCCTAAACCCTCCTAAACCCGAATCGCACCCCCACCGCGGAATCTTTTCCCAAACCCCAATGGCTGAATAAACCCTAAATAGACCCTCATGCCCAGAGGGCCCATATTTATATACAACATTTGTATATATATATATATAGAGAGAGAGAGAGAGACTTACTACCATTATGGAAGTTGGGCCCCCAACAGACCATGTTTCTTCTCTATTTTTTTTTTGGGGGGGGGACCGCATTCCATAATCGTAGCATGTATGGACCCTTTAGGATGGGGGCCTGAGATGAGATGTTCTGGGTGCAAACGGCAGCCGCGACCTTCGGCTGCGATCTAGTTGCAGGGTTCGTTCTCTTGTGTATTGCTGCACCGACCAGCTATCTCAGGATTCCTGAATGTTGAGTTCCATGAGTATTTTCTGAATACTGCTTATTGTGTGGCTGGAGCAGTAAGGCAGAACAACATACAACATTCAACAACTCATCTTAACCTGATGTTAGCTAGGCATGGGTCCTAGCAACAGCAATAGCAGATGCAACGCAAATACTGCTTGACGGTGAAACTGTAGGGAAAGGATGAGACATGGGTATTTTGCGAATAGTACAAGGCAACCTGTTAAGTGGCTGTCACCAACGCCCATTGCAGATGCAAGCTGGTGGTATAAACACACCATACAGGTAGGTACATCGCGGGGATGTAGCATATTCTTTATGTATGTATATATTATATATATACACACTTATATATATATATATATATGTACACATATAACGAATTATACAAAATACTCATGCAAATATAAAAGTGTGTGTGTATATATATATATATGCATATACATATATATATATATATGAATGTACCCAATTCTATTCGCCAAAGCTTTCCCGGTTGCGGATGCAACAGTTCAGCTCATGCTATTAAAGTACATGTTGCACACCTCTTGTTGTCCACATCCTCCGATGCTGTGCATCCTAGGTTCAAACCAATTAGGTTTTAGGTTTCGCAAATTCAGCCTTGACGTTGGTGCGACATACACACTATGGGATCTACATAAGTAGTAGGATACTAGTACTGTCTTTAAGAGCCCGGCCAAAGCCTGAACCCACGGCAGTAGACTAAGGAACCCTGATTACGATGGACATGCAATCGCTATGTGTTAACGTATGTGTGTGTACGTTTCTATGGATGTATGTATGCATGTATATATGTATGTAGCTAGATACTTGTGCTTTTATGTCCTTATGTCGTTATGTAATTATGTACTTAAGTAAGTAAGCAAGTAAGTATGTATGTACGTATCTATGTACACAAAGACTCGGTCCCCGGCTTGTAACCTTATGCACGGTTTCGGTGAAGGTTCCCTCGCCTTGGTGAAGAACATTCACATCAAGGTTTCTTTGTTAGGGTGTAGGGTTAAGGGTTTAGGGTTTAGACATGTGAAGCCGTACCTGAGTCGTCTGAGGCCCTGACAAAAGCTCGCCGCTGTTCAAAGAGCACCTTGCCGGGACAACAGAACGGGAATTCGGGCTAAATAGGGCTCAGGTTTAAGCACAAGACAAGATGCAGGTTCATGATACCTGCTGGTGTTCACATAGTTGCTCTGGGCTTGCGTGTGGTCGTATGACAGCGAAACCCAACAGCTTCGCAGAGTGTACTATAATGCACCATAGGGCCATAGGGAACTCCAGAAAGTTGCACATGGATGTGGGATGATTAGTGATGATTAGTGCTAGGATTCCTGATGCTGTACCTGAAGGGTGGGAGGTCAGCTATGTTCCAACTTCCTGGCTTGCACTTTAGGGGTTTGGGGTTCTAGGATTCAGGCGTCTATAGTTGAAAGCGCATGACACACATATGCACTGCACCCTATGCGACAACTCCCTAAAGTTGCGTCATGTAACCCTGAACAGTACATGGGCAGTTTTCGAAATTGGGGTACTTTTTTGGGTCCCCAACATAGTACGGCACCCTTATAAAAAGGACCCCTCCCCCCCCCAAAGGGATCCTTTTTTTAGAGAGCTACCTACATAGGTTTCGAGCTTGGGGCTTTGAGTTTGTTTCGACCTTCGAGCTACAGGTGTCTTTAGGATATTCTGGGGTCGGCAACAGCGGACTTCAGTGGCAGGCGCCGAAAAGATTTCAGCCGGAAGACTTTGGGGTTCAGGGTTTAGGAGTTTGGGTTTTAGGG